TCTAGATATTTAAGATGCAAATCAGCATGTGCTTTTTGAACATAAATAAAGTCAGCTCAGTTTATGTAACTAAATAAAAACATGAAAAATATAAATACCATATTAGAATACTATAATCATTTAGAATCAGTACTATGAATACCAAAAAACTACCCAGCACTTGAGTAAAAATGTTAAAAATATCCCAATAAAATGCTACAGCACTCTTTTAGGGTCAACTTTTAGGGCTTATTATTTATTTATTTATGATGAAGAAAAGTGATCGCAGAGGGTGGTGAGCTTTGTGGGCTGAAAGACCTCCCTTAACATAGACCCTTCAGCCCAGCAGAAAGTTTCATGATTAGAAGTGAGCAACAGAACAAGATGAAGTTCACTCTATTTGCTGCCTTTCTTTTCTCTATAGGATGGAGGAGTGTTGTGGTAGCAGGTGAGATTTGATTATTTTAATTATGAGCTCTTTTGGTTAAATATTGTGGCTTGACCTCAGTAACTTTCAATTAACTGAAATGTAGAGAATTGAGATGACAATGTAGCTTAAGAGAGAGAGAGTGTGTGTGTGTGTGTGCGTGCGTGTGTGTGTGTGTATTATTCTGTGAATGCAAAGATTATTTATCTGAATAAAATTATGTGCTTCTCAGTTGCTTCAACACGTGATGGACGTCCAGTACACTGCTGTCTTACTGTGTCAGGCACCAATATAAGAGCTGACTACATTGTGAATTATACTATGCAAGATCAACCGCTATGTCCTATCAGAGCTGTAAGGCAAGTTCCGAATTATTATAATCTATCACAATATTAAGTTTTACACAGAGTAAGTAAGACATTGGCAGACAATTAAATGATGAGAGCTAAAACGTCTCGTATCCTTTTTTTTCCATGTACAGATTCCACACCAAGAAAAACAAAATTATTTGTTCAGATCGTGATAATAACTGGGCTAAGCGTGTGATGAAGATAGTGGATGGGAGAAAGAAAACAAAACCTTCCCAAAATCCTACTATGTGCTATTCAAGTACAACAAACATTATCCCAACTGTAAATACAACAAACAAAACACCAGGAACAGAGACGGAGACCAGCTCGAGTACACCTGTAACACCAATAGTGACGACAATCAAAACATCTGGTTTTAGTAACTTTCACTCACCTGAAATGTAGAGAAGTTGAGCCGATATAGTAGCTAATGAGAGAGTGCACATGTGTTTATATCTTATACTGTGAATATAATGATCACTCACCTCAATACAATGATGTTCTTCTTCTACAGGTGATGGACGTTTAGTAGACTGCTGTGATACTGTGACAAACACCAGAATACCAGTTGAAAAAATTTTGCATTATGACATGCAAGAAACAAATCTATGTCCTGCCAGAGCTGTAAGGCAAGTTTAGAGTTATTGTAATATATACCAATTCGAAGTTTTACACAGACTCAGTAATAAATGTGCAGATAATTAAATGATGAGAGCTAAAACGTCAAGTATTTTAAATAACCAATATGCTAGTAATATGCATGGTAATAAGCAACTAGTTAATAGGGAAAATTGGTCCCTACACCAATGTTACCATATGTTTTTCATACAATTGCATCCAATGCCTGAAAACTTTATCATGATGCGGCTTCAAATTTTGGGCGAACTATTCCTTTAATGCAGCAGTCAGATTGCCTGGCTGCAACAACACAACAAATCAAGCAAGAGAGAAGGAAGTGCAGTGGGCAGCTTGGCGAGGGTACATAAACTAAGCTCATCTTTCAGTTTAGTTGATTTGTTTTCTTATCCCCAGACTCCAAGGAACATTTTTAGTTTTCCCCATAGCCCTAGCACCATTTGGAGAAGGCTTAAATATAAAAATTTTTACTTTGTGTAAAATAGCAATATTGTAAAGACAACATGTTGTTTGGTAAATAGCCAGCTCGTATCTCCCATTGTACTAAAGCAAATAATTGAAATATTATCTACAAATAATTTTTTGTGTTTTTTTTTTACAGTAGGCATGATTCCAAAGCAGATTTACAGAAAATAGACAGGATGATGAAAAACTCCCTACAAAGATTTACACACATACTTTTTACTTTTAATTATTGTATTAACATACCTTATATTTACTTTCACCCAAAGAAGTTATTTTGAAGATTGTTGGTATCAACAAAACATTGAATCCCATTGATTTTCAGTGTATGGTAAAAAAAACACTGACTTTTTCATGTTTCATGTTAGTACAGATTTGGAAAACATGAGGTTGTGAGATAGAATTGTCAATGGGCTGAACTATTCATTAATACATTAGTGTGGTGTCAGTATTTTTACTGAAGTATGGATCTATTTTTTCCAACACTGCTGAAAACCAGACACTGACTTTTTCATGTTTCATGTTGTACAGAGAAAATAGTACAGATTTGGAAAACATGAGGTTGTGAGATAGAATTGTCAATGGGCTGAACTATTCATTAATACATTAGTGTGGTGTCAGTATTTTTACTGAAGTATGGATCTATTTTTTCCAACACTGCTGAAAACCAGAGTGCAACTCAGAGCCAGAACATGAAGTATTAACAAGTAACCTGACCAAAACTATAATTGTAATTAAACTCTCATTTTTTCCAATGACTCAGGTCAAGTTTATGTAATTCTGGTCAGCGAATACTGAAACTTCAAAGATGTGCACATGGCCCACCGGTTGTTTTTTGGTTTACTAGAGCTTAGCATATAGTGCATATTAGGTGCAGCATAGCAGTCACTACTTCCTCTCACAGAACAGAGTGTGATGCTGTGGTCTGTCATCTTGCATCTACATCAGAACTTTCTACAAATAGCTAAGAGAACATCATACACCATGTTTCTTGTGTGTTATTTCGAAACAGGAAATGCCCATGTGGTTGTTCATTTAGGTCTACAAATTTACTTTCATATAATATCAGAAAGGACCACTGTACTATAGTAAATAGCGCATTAGTAAACAAACTCATAAATGTTAACCTTATAAAATGTGAAATGGCATTAAACTATGTGCAGCTGTTCAATATGAATGTCATATAGAGAAAAATTACATCATGAAACAGCTTCACATGTCTTTGTTTAAGTGTAGGTGAGTGCTGGGTGGGAGCTGGTTTTGTTTTAAGGTTTTGCTAAGACGTGGAAGATCCCAGTAAGGCTGAATAAAACGTTTGTGGTTTCATGATCACAGCCCCTTTAAGGCCTCTGTAGTTTCCACACACGTTTAACAGACCCACATGTTATACCCAATGCTCACAAAGTGCATAAAGATTCAATTTTTAGATGCATTCACTCTCATTTGTGCCTTTTTTGATGTTGCTATTAAACTCAAAAGCTTTCTTTTGTCAACCTTAGCTATTGCATATGACATACGTATTGCTGTAAGCAAGCACATCATGTAACAGCCTGGCCAATTCTGTTTAGAAACAGTAGTTTGTGAATGCAGTCAGGCCTATCTGTACATACCTTATACTGCACACTTACAAAAAAGTAACAAGGTATTATCACATTTTTGAAAATACCATGTTTCTTAGACACATACCGGAAAAACCATGATACTCTTTGAAGTATCATGTAAATGGTAGAAAAAAAAGGGTAACACTATATTTTAGGGTCTTAGTTGTTTATTAGCATGCATATTACCAGAATATTAGCCATTTATTAGTTCTAATTAAGCACATATTAATGCCTTATTCTACATGACCTTATTCTACATCCCTAATCTTACCCAATACCTAAACTTAACAACTACCTTACTAATTATTGTTAGCAGCAAATTAGGACTTTATTGAGGGAAAAGTTGTAGTTAATAGTGAATAAGTGTTCCCTATTCTAAAGTGTTACCAAAAAAAGATACTTCAGATGCAAATTAGCATGTGTTTTAATCTTTTTGAACTCATATTATATTTTTTTGTGTTTTAGCTCAGATTATTGTTTTGTACCATTTCTATAACATAAACTAAATAAAAAAAATGCCAAAAAAATTAACAAATACCATATTAGATTAATATTGTGATTTAGAATCTGTACAATGCTATACAAAATTACCAAGGTAATATTATCTGGTACCAGCATTGTACCACTTAACAGCACTTTTTAAGGGCTAATTTTCTTTATTTGTTTGTTTGTCTGTTTCATTAAAAATAAAAATATAATAATAACAACAATAATAATACATTTTAATTGTAAAACCTAACCAGGAACAGAGGCTACAAATGAGACCAATAGTTTAGGCCACAATGAACTGAACTGAGCCATGACGAATGCTCATTGTGAATTTTGTAACCCCTTACTTTCCTCTATGTGGTTAAATGCATCTCTTTCTCTCTCGTTTTTGGTCTTCCACTCATCACTCATCTTTTCCTGTCCCCGACTGAGGTGTCTGTGGGCCTAGGTGACGAAGAAAAGTGATCGCAGAGGGTGGTGAGCTTTGTGGGCTGAAAGACCTCCCTCAACATAGACCCTTCAGCCTAGCAGAAAGTTTCAGAATTAGAAGTGAGCAACAGAACAAGATGAAGTTCACTCTATTTGCTGCCTTTCTTTTCTCTATAGGATGGAGGAGTGTTGTGGTAGCAGGTGAGATTTGATTATTTTAATTATGAGCTCTTTGGTTAAATATTGTAGTTTGACCTCAGTAACTTTAAATTAACTGAAATGTAGAGAACTTCAGACTGCAATGTATTTTAAGAGAGAGTGTGCGTGTGTACACCTTATACTGTGAATATAATGATAATTTATCTGAATAAAATGATGCGCTTCTCCAATAGTTGATGGACGTCCAGTACACTGCTGTCTTACTGTGTCAGGCACCAATATACAAGCTGACTACATTGTGAATTATACTATGCAAGATCAACCGCTATGTCCTATCAGAGCTGTAAGGCAAGTTCCGAATTATTATAATCTATCACAATGTTAAGTTTTCCACAGAGTAAGTAATACATTGGTGGATAATTAAATGATGAGAACTAAAATGTCAATTATACTTTTTTGCATGTACAGATTCCACACCAAGAAAAACAAAGTTATTTGTTCAGATCGTGATAATAACTGGGCTAAGCGTGTGATGAAGATAGTGGATGGGAGAAAGAAAACAAAACCTTCCCAAAAACCTACTATGTGCTATTCAAGTACAACAAACATTATCCCAACTGTAAATACAACAAACAAAACACCAGGAACAGAGACGGAGACCAGCTCGAGTACACCTGTAACACCAATAGTGACGACAATCAAAACATCTGGTTTTAGTAACTTTCACTCACCTGAAATGTAGAGAAGTTGAGCCGATATAGTAGCTAATGAGAGAGTGCACATGTGTTTATATCTTATACTGTGAATATAATGATCACTCACCTCAATACAATGATGTTCTTCTTCTACAGGTGATGGACGTTTAGTAGACTGCTGTGATACTGTGACAAACACCAGAATACCAGTTGAAAAAATTTTGCATTATGACATGCAAGAAACAAATCTATGTCCTGCCAGAGCTGTAAGGCAAGTTTAGAGTTATTGTAATATATACCAATTCGAAGTTTTACACAGACTCAGTAATAAATGTGCAGATAATTAAATGATGAGAGCTAAAACGTCAAGTATTATTTTTTTTGTCCACGTTCAGATTTCACACCAAGAAAAACATAACTATTTGTTCAGATCCAGACAGCATCTGGGCTAAAAAGGCAAAGGCGATAGTGGATGGGAGAACAACGATCAAAACATCTGGACCGGAGACAGAGACCAGCAATAAAAACATCCTACCAACTTCAGTGTCCAAAGACAACCCAGAATCTACTGCGATAACATGTGGGACTTGTGAACCAGCTGCACTGCCAACAGAAACAAAACGGGAAACACCTGGAATAGGCACAGTTACACCTCTGAATACATTTACAACAAAGGACAATATGGTGATCACAACTTCACATAATCACACACCCAAGAGGACAACACCATCAAAGTTAAAAAAAAAAAAACTTAGTAAAAGCAAGAAAGGACTTAGAAAAATTCAGATGAGAATGAACCATCTAAAAAAAAAATCGGGATAAAGCTGGACAATTTGTATAATATACACATAGATTACAGTAAGTTTGAATATACTCATGATGGGTTGTGAGTTGAAGCACTACAGATATTATTTAGTCCTAGAGTAGGCCTGACGTTTGGTGCTGGTCTTATAGCTGCAGACTAGTTCAGTTGTGTGGTGTGTTTCTACCGAGTGTGTAATTTAAAATAATTTGGTTTTATTATTATTTGTTAATAAATTAATTCAATAAACATTGTTAATATAAATAAAATGTAGACCTGTATTTCTATTACAATAATAAATGAATATAATTCATATTTTTTTCTGATGTGTTTTCATTGTAGATATTATGCATATACAGTAACTTGCTGAAAGTATTCTTCACAAAAAAAAAAATAATTATGGACAAGTGCTTAGTGAGAGTCAAAGTTCGATCATCTGAAACTGCAGTGATGGAAAAGAGGCCTTCATCATATCTATATCTTACTATAGTGAGGATGCAGTGTCACACTATCATCACATGGTGGCAGACTAATCTAGAGAAGCGTTTCTAGCTAACTGCAGCCTTTAGCTAACCATGAGAATGTCAGTTAACAGTTTTACAACAGTAGAGATAAACTCATTGTAAATGTACTACAGGATAAAGCTGATGTAACCCTTTGAAAACAGTTAAAAATCAACTGAGTTGTCTCACACATTTCTCTGAGTGAATTTCTCTTTTAGAGGTACTGCAGCAGTTCTATAAAGTAGGCAGTGCATATCAAACTTAAACTTAAAACTAAAATAGTTCACAGACAGAAAGTCTCAATGTCAGGGTGATGACAATTCAGTTTTTCCGTTGGCCCTCTGGAAGTTTGGCAGAAAAAGTATATAGATAAAGTATATACATAAAAAAGCATACATACTTCACCACACTTGCTCAAGACTGACACAAACTAAACCGGCTAAGGTAGAATAATAATTAGACCAATACAATAATGTTGATTTCAGACACAGGACGCTGGGGTGTCTTATTTTGTTTCTTGATTTTCTCTCTTTGTACGGGCACGCTTGTTGGGTCACCAATCGAATGGCAGATAGAAATGAAATTTTTAATAAAGCTTGTGATTGGAATGAACATTGCAGGAAATTACAATCAATACTTGGCTGCAGATGCTCATCCGATATCGAGCCTTTTTTTAAGATGAAAAATGCTTTGCTACATCCCTAATCTTACCCAATACCTAAACTTAACAGCTACCTTACTAATTATTGTTAGCAGCAAATTAGGACTTTATTGAGGGAAAAGTTGTAGTTAATAGTGAATAAGTGTTCCCTATTCTAAAGTGTTACCAAAAAAAGATACTTCAGATGCAAATTAGCATGTGTTTTAATCTTTTTGAACTCATATTATATTTTTTTGTGTTTTAGCTCAGATTATTGTTTTGTACCATTTCTATAACATAAACTAAATAAAAAAAATGCCAAAAAAATTAACAAATACCATATTAGATTAATATTGTGATTTAGAATCTGTACAATGCTATACAAAATTACCAAGGTAATATTATCTGGTACCAGCATTGTACCACTTAACAGCACTTTTTAAGGGCTAATTTTCTTTATTTGTTTGTTTGTCTGTTTCATTAAAAATAAAAATATAATAATAACAACAATAATAATACATTTTAATTGTAAAACCTAACCAGGAACAGAGGCTACAAATGAGACCAATAGTTTAGGCCACAATGAACTGAACTGAGCCATGACGAATGCTCATTGTGAATTTTGTAACCCCTTACTTTCCTCTATGTGGTTAAATGCATCTCTTTCTCTCTCGTTTTTGGTCTTCCACTCATCACTCATCTTTTCCTGTCCCCGACTGAGGTGTCTGTGGGCCTAGGTGACGAAGAAAAGTGATCGCAGAGGGTGGTGAGCTTTGTGGGCTGAAAGACCTCCCTCAACATAGACCCTTCAGCCTAGCAGAAAGTTTCAGAATTAGAAGTGAGCAACAGAACAAGATGAAGTTCACTCTATTTGCTGCCTTTCTTTTCTCTATAGGATGGAGGAGTGTTGTGGTAGCAGGTGAGATTTGATTATTTTAATTATGAGCTCTTTGGTTAAATATTGTAGTTTGACCTCAGTAACTTTAAATTAACTGAAATGTAGAGAACTTCAGACTGCAATGTATTTTAAGAGAGAGTGTACGTGTGTACACCTTATACTGTGAATATAATGATAATTTATTGATGCGCTTCTCCAATAGTTGAAGGACGTCCAGTACCCTGCTGTCTTACTGTGTCAGGCACCAATATACGAGCTGACTACATTGTGAATTATACTATGCAAGATCAACCGCTATGTTGATTGAGATCAAATCTCGCAGGTGGTTCATAAATATATTTTTTTACTTCAATAACAACAGTACTGAAATAGACGATCGATAATTTTTATATGACAGCTGTGAAAAATCTCACATAAATGTGTGAACGTTTAGAGCGCTCTCCTTCACATTCATGTGGACATGCACACATTGACACACAGAGCGGTTTTTCTCCTCAGATTTTTTATGGCTTGGCTGAGCCGAGGTCCTCATAAATCTACAGACAGGAAATAAATGCCAGCGGCCCTTTGCCTGAGTTTGCCAGGTGAAAATGAATGGAATAAAACAGGGCTTAATAGCACGGAGCAGGTAATTACCTTCTCTGGCCTGCTCGTCTGTGAAATATGATAATATTGCACACTAATAAGACGGACCCAAACTCCCAGTGCCCATCCACAGGCGTAGGGAAGGGTCACTATGCTTTGCAAGTCTGTCATAAGGGGGTATTCTTTTTAAAGGGGTTATTTGTAAAGTATTTTCACGTCTGACAATATTTATAAGAAATGATGAGGCCCAAGTCAGGTTGTTAAAACTGGTTCCATTAAATATGTATTAGCACATATTACATTCCAGTCAACACTACTGATTATTTATTTTGCTGTTGTTGTTTTAAAATGGCACACAACTAATATATGTTCAATTATATACAGAGGACCAAATGAGTCTAATCTCTTTTGCAAAATAATAATTCAATCATTATTATAATAATTGTTATTTTATTTTATCCTCTTAAGACCCGAGAAAAACGTTTTAGGAAAAAGTTAGTTTTTTCTATGTCTTTACATTGTTTAGAGCATTAAAAATAATGTAAAAAAAATATATATATTAAAAAAATATATTTCATTCATAAGTTATGCTATGTCCACGGTAGAGGACATCGGGACTCAATTTCTTTAAAAAAATAAAAATACATGAATGAACATGCATAGGCAAAAACAATAGATTTTTTAAAATCAATACATTTTTAGTTTTCAAGAATTTTTTTTATCAAACTTTGTATAAAGATGATTCTCAACGATGTTATAACAGAATGATTCAATGTACAATTTTTCTTTCTGCAAAATGTGTGTAAAATGGCCATAAACAGGCTTTCTCATTATATACAATGTATCTATAAACTAAATCTAATTTGCATATTAATGTGTTTTTGGGGCAACATGTAATGAAAAAACAAGTGTAATAATGGGAGTAATAATTGACAAGATTTTCATAATAATATATAATATTTCATAGAATATAGAAATATAATTTATTTCCCTGTTCATTTGTTATGTCTCCCAAAATGCGTAATAAACATGCTTTTAGTCCCGGTGTCCTCATGTGAGGACATGTGTGAAATCAACGTCCTGTTTCGTAACAGAAAGTCATATTTTGATTTGAAACCCAACATTTTCCTGAGATGTTGATTTATGACACACAGCTTAAAAATTAGTCAGATTTCAATGATAATTACAAAATATTATCATATTTCCATAAGAGTGTCACTAAATTAATTTCAGACATTTTTGAAGACCAGTGAGAGGGAGTGGTCATGGTGAAACATCCAAACATTTAGTATCTCTGAAATGCCCTGAACGTACTCTGTACAGGACATCCAGACTTAAAACTGTGGCATGTACAGTCTCAGAGAAATTCACAAAAATATAATGTCCTCATATGAGGCCGCAGGGTCTTAAGAGGTTATATGTTATTGGACTTTATAGAGTGCTGCAGTGATGACATATTTTTGTAGGCCAACCCAAAATCTGCACCACCCTGGTTCCCTCAACAAAGACCAATAGGATGTTTCATTGGCGTTTGGATTATTGCAGAAAATAAGCTCTGTTGCCAACAAAAGTTTATGAGTTGTACATGTTTTGTTCATCATGATAATCTTCAAAAATCAACACAACTTATATGAATTTTAAAGCCTAAATATGATTGCCAGAATTAAAAAGCTAAACATAGGCTATAAACGAACAATGCCATGGTCGCATGATTTCAATGTTATCACCATTAAGCTTCTGACAACTCTTCCTGAAAATTAAAATAGTTTGCAAGAGCATGAGGCTATAAAAGCATATTATAAGAGAAAAAGTGAAATATGAAATATAAATATTTGGTTGGTCATGTGGCCCCAAATTGGCAGCCACTATGAAAATTGACCACTCTTAGAGTAAAACAGCTTTTTTATGCCACCGCACACACAAGTCAATTTACACGTTATTTAAAGTACTACTTTAGGTGTTGACCTTTTTGTATGTGCACCTGAAGTATATCAGTGTATTATCATGCCACGCTGAAGGAAACATAATACAGAGAACATTATAACATGTAAGGGTTTTGTGTGTGTGTGTGTGTGTGTGTGTGTGTGTGTGTGTGTGTGTTTAAAGGAAAGACAGCGCAACTTGTGCTGAGCACAGGGTTTTAAGGCCTGATGGAGATGCACTCCTGGGATAGCGCTTAACTTGAGAGACAGCGACAAGATTGATTTGTCTGACACAGGGAGATTACATTCAGTGACACACCTGTATTAGACAAGGGCACAGGCAATCAAAGAGCAGCCACACACCAGCCTGACCAGCCACTGAACTTTAGATCAGTTTAAATATTACAATCCATTAAAAATTAGGCTATTTATTTGTGTACATTTTCTAATCTCAAACTGTTTTTTGGTTTATAATTACTATTAATTAATTTAAATTTTATTTTATCATTTGTATTTATTTTTCTGTTTCAATCATATTAATTCTGTTTCTGTGTATTGCATTTTGGGATTCAGTATTCTGCGTTGTGTACAGCAGCAAATGTATTTAGTCATTCGAGTACACGCATTCAGAAAGTTAGCATATTGTGCATATTACACAAACGCGAAGACTGACTTTTTCCATGGCGAACAAATCAAACGTAACAACAAACGTAACACCGAATGCTAAACTAAACTAAATCCTTTTCCGCTTTAAGACGCCAGCCAAAAAGAAGTTTGGAATAAGGAGGAGAGAGGAAGACATCTTTATCATATTCAAAATCAAGTTGGGGTTGAACGAGTTCATTTTGGTAGTAGAAGAGAAGATACAATTATTACCAGACTTCGCATTGGCCATACTGCTTTAAATTCTTCTCTATATAAAATGAATAAGCATGAGTCTGGGAACTGTAGTCTGTGTGGATTACCAGAAACAG